ATTTACTTCTTAGTAAAGATGTTTATACATTTTATAAAACACAAACGTTTGATGACTTTAGATGTTATGCACCATAACGATAATATCGATACGTAGTGTTGTTGTCCTTTTACGGATTTTTCTTTATAAATATTTTCTTTTATTAATTAGTCTAGAGGAAATAAATAATCTGAATAATATACATTTGCCTAATTGATTCCAAACACGTAATAAGTACTAGACAAGCCTCATCAGATACTACATAGTCCAATTATTTCAAAAAAAATAATATTGGATATTAAACTCATTTACAGTGACCGTAAAGTGAACTCAAGTGACCAAAAGTCATTTGTCAGATAGCAAATGACCTAATTTTGTCCATTGTGCTAGGGAGGATGATAATAAAGTTACTTTAGACACGTTATTATCATATCTGCCACTATCACCTCTATATATTGAAAAAGAATATAATGTCGTTTCTCCATATCATACTCAATGTGGGATTCTACCGTGAAAAATGAAATTAGGTCTCAGATTATTTAGCATTTTTATTCTAAAGGAACAAGTAACCGAAGAATCTCCAGATTGGGCATCTTTATTGGCGTTCTGTATCATGACGGTATTGGTACTGAGAATGACCACCAGAAAGCATTTGAATGGTACATGAACTCAGGTAACCGAGGAAACGCATTTGGTCTATATAGCACAATATCAGTCCGTTTTTTTTTGTTTAAAAATCTTTTAGCCGACACTAACGCTAATCTTAATGTTAACCCTTACTCTAATTGTACAATGCAGATCTAGACAATAACGATAACGATAAACGCTAATACATGTGCATGTATATTTAGTCAAACATTGTACGTACATGTATCTGTATGCGTAACATTAAAAGAGTCCGCTCTCCGAGAACTAATCAAGTTATAAAAAGCAACCACGTACGTAAACAGTACAAGCTCCTTTTTTGATTTTGAAGCAAAATAAAAATCATGCCAGTAGAAAATTTGGAACAAATAATCAGAGAAAAACTTGCTATTCAAATTCAAACACCTGGTATGCCTGGTTCAAGAGTAGAACAAATTATAATTTTTTCTACTCCACTATATGAAAATTGTGCCGTGGTTATTAGCAAATTCACTATGTATGCTGTGAGAACGGTTATCTATGATCCGATAACGAAAGACATGCAAATTAAGAGATATCCTGATTTTAATCCA